TTTACTTCACCAATTTTACAACCAACAGCGGCGACGCATCATATACACACAGCAACAGGTACTGTTTACTAACAAGGTGAAAGTGCCAACTACTGGCCTGGCATACGTAATACAGCGTTTTTGGCCGTTTTCGTGGATATGTGTAAACGCGAATCGTTTTGAAAACGTTGTCGTGTATACGAGAAACTTTGGTAACACTTTCTATGAAGCCCGTATTTATAATACATTATAAGGGTATTCTTAAGGCATTATAATGAATGCATAATAAAAAAAACTAAAAAAAAACTTATAATATGTTGTATCATCTCATGAATATTCATAAGAACAGTTTTAATATATTATAATATTTACTTATTTGTGGTTATAGCTTTTAAGAGTATGATGATTTATAACACAATGAACACGTTGCATCCACTTTTACAATGGATTATATTTCTCATAGTTATATGAGAGTTAGTTGGCATGTAGTTGCAGAGTTGCTTATAGTCGATTGATTAAGGGGGCCATCAAAATAAAATGTAACCATATAAAACATTGCATTTTTTTCAGTTGGAGTATAAAGCTCACATCAGTTAATTAACATTAGCTCCACAGGAAACACTCAAATAACACTCAACATCTAACCACTCACAAGCTGTAGTAAGATACTGTGCAGATCTTAAATAAACAATGTCAAGATATGATACAGTCCATTATTCTGTAAATGAAGTAGATTTGATATGGTGTTCATTGTGTGTTATAAATAATCATACTCTTAAACTTATAACCAGAAATACGCAAGTATTATGATGTATTATAACTGTTGTTATGAATATTCATGAGATGATATAACATATTATAAGGTTTTTTATAATGCATTATGCATTCATTATAATGCCTTAAGAATACCCTTATAATGTATTATAAATACGGGCTTCATAGAAAGTGTTACCACTTTTTAAAATCGCAAGGGAAAAACTTTTCAATTTTTGACTACATCGTTGTCATGTAAACGTAGCCTAAGACACCATTCATGTTTAATTATGTGGCCGTAATCCTTTAAAATTGCTGATAAAAACTTTTAAAGGGATAGTTCACCTAAAAAAGGAAGATATTTTGTTCATTGTTGTTTGGAGTCCAACATTCTGTGAAATACCTTTTATGTGTTTGACAGAAGTATGAAATGCATACAGGTTTGGAACGACATGAGGGTTAGTGAATGATGAAAGCATTTGAAATATCCCTTTAATAATACTATCACATTAATTTTGTCACAGGTTTCTGTAATAGCATCCGTGCAGTTTGTGCAGTTTTTTTCCCCCTAAGTATCATAAAGTGACAGAATACTTAACCTGACATCACATGAAAACAAAGGGCTGTCAAATCGATTAATCATGATTAATCGCATCCTAAAAAAAGGTTGTGTTTACATAATGTGTGTGCACTGTGTATATTTATATGATATAAATACACACACTTACATGTATACATTTAAGAACTAAATGTAATATATATTTCTATACAAGTCTATATATATATATATATATATATATATATATATATTAGGGGTTGACCGATTATCGGCGCCGATATGAATCATTTTTATGATTATCGGTATCGGTCATTTTGAAAACCGATTTGCCGATAAAATAATTTAATTTTGAAACACACTATTTGGCTCTGATGCAGCCTGTCGGAACTCACCACTCTGTGGCCTAAAAAAATCACAAATATCTAACCTTTCATTGAACTAAAACAATTGAAAATGGGGGAAAATCTCATTATGAAATAAATGTGTTTCTCAAATACACGTTGGACACAATTATTGGTACCCCTAGAATTTCTTATGAGTAAAATATCTGTGAAGTATATTCCCATTCATATTTACAAGTTTGAGCATACCAGGGTTGATGAAACATGAAATGATCCAGCCATGGCTTCCTGTTCCACAGGAATATAAATAGGAGGGAAAACAAAGGCCAAATGCCCTTACTCATCCATCACAATGAGAAAAAACAAATAATATATTTCTGATGTGCAGCAAAAGATAATTGAGCTTCACAAATTAGAAAGTGACTTTAAGAAAAGAGCTAGAGCAGTGAAAATTCCCATTTCCACCATCAGGGCAATAATTAAGAATTTCCAATCAACAGAAAATGTTACAAATCTAATTACAGTATATTGTATGTATATTGTATGCTAAGGGGCAGTTGTGGCCTAATGGTTAGAGAGTTGGGCTTGTAACTCAAAGGTCACGGGTTCAAGTCTCGGTACCGGCAGGGATTGTAGGTGGGGGGAGTGAATATCCAGCGCTCTCTCCA